CATTTTATTGCTTTTCTGGCTGAGCAAACGGTGGTGCTCTCGCTGCTGGCTGGAAGCTGAGCCCGCAGGATTTGGGTTGTGGTGTGGCAGGGGGAGCAGTGGGGTTTTAGGGGATAATGTGTGTGTCCCTGTGTAATAACAGCAGCCCATTGACCCCTTCTGGGGGAGCAGGGCCCGAGGCTGATGGCACAGGAGGAAGGAGGAGCTGGGGATGGTTTTGGCAGCCTGGGGAAGGTTGGAGGGGTTTGCTGGTGCCTCACTGAGGGCAGGGATCCGTCTGCTGGGATATTTGTGGGGTTTTGCTGCTCTTCCTTTGGCCTCTTTCACTCTGAAACTCTTTAATCACAGAGATCTTCAGGAGCTTCCTGGGACCAGGAGGTTTTAGAGATGTTCAGACTGGTTTATTGAGGTTTATTCAGGCTGTGTTTTTAACTGGCAAATGTTCATCCTGTCCCCCCCAGCAGTCCCTTTCTCACCCTGGGTAAACTCTCCTCTTCTTGTCTTGCCTTAGTGATCACTCTGCTGGTTATAAAATGAATCCAGGGGGGCAGTGCTTTTAACCAGGTGAAATCTTGGATTATTTTAACCTTTGACTGTTTTCATATTGATGATCATTCTTCTTTAGCCCCATCCAGCCTGGCCTTGGGCACTTCCAGGGGCAGCCACGGCTCCTGTGGGCAGCCTGTGCCAGTGCCCAGGAAATAAAGGAAATAAAGGAAATAAAGGAAATAATGGAATATCTCAGCTGATTCCTGGTGCAGAATGGAAATCCCTGCCCACCCCTGTGTGTTACTGAGCCCCAGCAATGGGGCCCTGCTCAGCCAGCAATCAGTGCCCAGCTGGGAGGGCTCTGGCTCCAGCCACCAGGAGGTTGCTTTTTCCATTATTATTTTTGCCCTTTATAACTTTTTGGCTCCATTTCCATGATTAAACCGTTGGCAGAGCTTTGATTGCAGAGCGTTGCTCGCTGAAAGGAGCTTGTGGAGTGGCTGAAAGCTTTTCCAGGGAGTGGGGAAAGCTGAGCTGCACCTCCTGCTCCGCGAGCTCTGTGGTCCAGGGATGCCCCACTGGGACAGCTCAGCTTCCCTGGCGGGGGGAAAGGCAGGAAGGCACAAGCCACAGACACAGATCTCATCCCATCGTGTGTTTGCATCACTCCTTTGGCGCAGAATTCCCAAATGGGATCGTTCCTGCTCCACTCCTGCCCTGACAATGGCTCCAAATTGGTCTCAGATAAACTGACCACAGAAAACAGGTGAAAATAAAGTTCTGAACACCACTGATGTCCCATTAATTCCAGAGATTATGGTTACACTGTCACAGATATCAAAGAGGAAAAGATTCATCCCAAACTTAGGAAAGCTCCGCTTGTGTGAGACCTTTTGTCACGCCTCGGCGCTGACAGGAATTGGAAATAAATGAAGGCTGGAGATCAAACCATTTCTCTTCCCAGCCCACCCATCATTTATTTCCTCAGCCCCACTTTGCCAAAGCTGCTGTGTTTGAGACAAATTGTGTTTAATTAGGAGGAGGTGGAGACCTTTAGGCAACGCTCTTCAATCACAGTGCCTGGAGGAACTAATCATGGAAATGCAAAATAAAGGGGCTGGGAGCTGTCCCCACTGGTGACTGATTGTCAGAAGGGAGGGCTGGTGCCAGCACAGGCTGGGGGAAAAAGCTCCCCTGATTCAAAATCTGTGTTCAAGTCACTCTGGAAATTGTGTCTGTGGTGGGGGGTGACAATATTCACAGCTCTGTAAATATTGAGCTCATCTGAGTATGAAATGAAAAAAAAAGAAATATAAAAAGTATAGAAAGCAAAGCAATTTTCAGTGAGTATTGATAAATTATTTTACCACCCTGAAAAGCACAGTTACCCTTTTTTATGATCGATACTTGGCATGCAAGATGTTCAGCTACACAAAGGAGTAACAATTTTTGGAGATGTTTGGGGTTGTTTGGTTTGAAATGGTTCTGAGAGGTTCAGGCTTGGGTTTAGTTTAAAATCAGGGGTTTGGGGTGTGGCGTTCGTGTTTAGGGGATCAGGGTTGTTTCCAGGGCATTCGGGGATGTGCTGCTGCAGGGAAGGGTGGGACTGTGGAATTGTGGAATTGCAGAACTGTGGGACTGTGGAAGTGTGGAATTTTAGGACTGTAGACCTGTGGAATTGTAGAATTTTAGGACTGTAGACCTGTGGAATTGTAGAACCGTGGGACTGTGGAAGTGTGGAATTGTGGAATTGCAGAACGGTGGAACTGGAATTGTAAAATTGTGGAATTGTGGAACCGTGGAATTGTAGGACTGTGGAATTGTGGAATTGTAGAACCATGGGACTGTGGAATTGTGGAACTGTGGGAGTGTGGAATTGTGGAACTGGAATTGTAGAACTGTGGAATTGTGGAAGTGTGGACCTGTGGAATTGTGGAATTATAGGGCTGTGGAAATTTGGAATTGTGGAATTGTAGAACTGTGGAACTGTGCAATTGCAGAACTGTGGAATTGTGGAATTATAGGACTGTGGAATAGGACTGTGGAAGTTTGGAATTGTGGAATAACAGAACTGTGGAACTGTGCAATTGCAGAACTGTGGAATTGTAGGACTGTGGAAGTGTGGAATTGTGGAAGTGTGGAATTGTGGAATTGTGGAATTATAGGACTGTGGAATTGCAGAACTGTGGAATTGCAGAACTGTGGAATTGCAGAACTGAGGACCTGTGGAATTGTAGAACCATGGGACTGTGGAACTGTGCAATTGTAGAACTGTAGGACTGTGGAAGTGTGGAATTGTAGGACTGTGGAATTGCAGAACTGTGGAATTGCAGAACTGTGGAATTGCAGAACTGTGGAATTGCAGAAGTGTGGACCTGTGGAATTGTAGAACTGTGGAATTGTGGAATTATAGGACTGTGGAACTGTGGAAGTATGGAATTGTGGAACTGTGGAATTGTAGAACTGTAGGACTGTGGAAGTGTGGAATTGCAGAAGTGTGGACTTGGGGAATTGTAGAACTGTGGAATTGTGGAAGTGTGGAATTGTAGAACTGTGGAATTGTGGAACTGTGGAACTGTGGAATTGTGGAATTGTGGAACTGTGGAATTGTGGAACTGTGGAATTGTGGAACTGTGGAACTGTGGAAGTGTGGAATTGTAGAACTGTGGAATTGTGGAACTGTGGAACTGTGGAACTGTGGAACTGTGGAACTGTGGAATTGTGGAATTGTGGGACTGTGGAACTGTGGAAGTGTGGAATTGTAGAACTGTGGAATTGTAGAACTGTGGAACTGTGGAAGTGTGGAATTGCAGAAGTGTGGACTTGGGGAATTGTAGAACTGTGGAATTGTGGAAGTGTGGAATTGTGGAAGTGTGGAATTGTAGAACTGTGGAATTGTGGAACTGTGAGGGGTTCCAGCCCAGCCAGGCCCTCCTGGGTCACATCCCTGACAAGGAACCCCAAAATCCCCCCTCCCACACGCTGGGTCACATTTAGCCAGGGCTCTCACCCTCTCTGCAGGCAGCCTGTAAATCCTGAGCTGCACTCAGGCCTCTCCTGAGCCTTCTTTAATCACAGCTCAACACCCCCAGTTCCCTCCATCTCCTCCTGCAGCAGGCCTTCAGTCACACCCTGTCCAAAAAGGGAAGGTTTGAATTCAAAACATTGTGCAAAAAGGGAAGGGTTTACTTTAAAACAGTAACATGAAATCAATGTTTTAATTTAACATTAAAAATAAAAAGCCAGATGACTGCAAAGCACTTTCCATGTTGGATCCGAATTTACTTGGGAGCTTAATTCCTCTTTCATCCTTGTTTATTATCTCATTTCTTTGCCCTTCCATTAATCCATTTACTGAATAAATGCCTATTTGCTGCTTTATTTAATTTTTTCCTGACCTTCACAGCTCCACGTGATCTGGGTGGGAGGCATGAGGTGGGGAGTAGCTCTGTGATGGGTTCAATGTGCACTCCAAGCTCAGCAGAACAGATTTTAAATGCCAAATCTGCTCCTAGATCAGAGTCTTTGGAGGTGTGGGAAGAAATACGGATGCAAAACAAACATTTTTTAATTCTTAATAAATATTAACGTTCCATTGTGATGCTGCACATACATTTGAGTCATAATTACTAAATTCCACAGATTTTAGTGATCTGAATGTAATGATCCTTATCAGCCAGTAAAGAGCAGGAAAATTAGCAGCGTTTCTGATACAGCAGAAATCCTGATTTATCTCAAACTGTGAGGCTCCAGAAGTGCTCTGGGAGCCAATTTCTATCCTGGGAAGGATGAATTTCCTGGGAAATCACTGTCAATAATAACATCCCCGATTTGCCACGAGCCCCAGATCAGATTGTGTCACTTCTGTCACTTGCAGGATGACACTGTGCAGCAGGGCTGCAGCTCTGTGCTTATTTGGGGGTTATTTTAATTAATGGACCTCTCAGATTCATTTCTTTTCTGATTCTATTCTGGAAATGCATGGGTGCTGTGACCTGCTCAGTGTCATTGTAACGAGACTTACAGACATCTTCAACGAGCTTTGATTTAATTTCCTCGCTGTAAAGCCCAGATTAAAGAAGAGCCCAGTCAATTAGGGAAGGAACAAAGCTCGTACTTAAGAGGAAATCACTTAATCTGCAGCAAGTCTGGAAAATTCTCCACCTTCTACCGTGTCACAGCTCAAATCTTCCCTCAGAAAGATGGGAAAGTTCCTGATGGGAAGCCCCAAAATGCAACCAAAGCCGAGTGGATCAGATCTCCATGGCTTCAGCAAAAGCTGCAGGGGCTTTGTGGCTGTGTGACAGCCTGAGCTGGGCTGGAGCCAGCCTGGGAGAGCTGGGAATGCTCACCTGGAAAAGGAGCCAGGAGAGCTCTGTGCTCTGCAGCTCCCAGGGGATGGACAGCACAGCTCTGCCTTTGGGTGGGGACATTTGGGCTGGGACACGGCAAAACCAGGCAGGAATCTGGGAGAGAAAAGCTGGAGCTGGGCAGGCACTTGGGTTAGGAGAATGGACGAGCCCCAGAACAAGAGGAAACAACAAAATAAATCTGTTTTAGTCCTCTCTGCGAGCAGCTTGGACTCTCCAGGTGCACACAGAGTGGCCGGAACAGCATCATTAATTTTTAAAAGTACCAGAAGAAGCCAATTTTGTCCTCTTTGCAAACTGTCAGGAGCAAGCTCAGCCTTCCCTTGAGCAGGAGCATCCATCCTCCCGGAGCTGTCCCGCGGCTCCTGCTCCAGGAGAGGAAATTGCTGCTTTTGGCTTGTGGTGTTTGGAGTCCAGGGCTGAGTTCCTGGGTGTGATGGGGAGGGCTGTGCTCCTCTAAACCAGGTTCTGCACTTTCCCCCCAGAGCTGAGGCTCCCCTCACCCTGTCCCTGTCTCCTTGCAGTCTCCCCCAAGATATTCCGGATCTCCAGCGACATCGTGGTGAACGAGGGCAGCAACGTGACGCTGGTGTGCCTGGCCACGGGGAAACCAGAGCCCTCCATCTCCTGGAGACACATCTCCCCCTCGGGTGAGTGCCAGGGGAGCGGCTGGGCTGGGCTGGGGGGCCAGGGAGAGGATGGGAACCGGGAAAATCCCATTCTTTATCCATAAATCTCACATTTATACAGCTGTCAGGGGCCTGGACTCTGGTGGGATGGTGAGTTTGCTGCCACTGGTTAGAGGAGCACTGGTTAGGTGTGTGTGTGCCTTTCCACAGGGGTTTACATCTTTTCTTTGTGGATCCTGATGGGACAGACCTGTGGTTATTACAGGTGTAATCTGTTCTGCTCTGCCACAATAGGTTGTTATGCAAACTGATTTTCATTCTTCTGATTTTTTCACATGAGAACTTACAAGCTAGCTGCTAGTTTATCTAGAGTAGCAGGGCTTAAACTATATCCTATAGGTTGCTTTTTAATAGTATCTAATATATTATTATTAACATATTAATTATAATATTAATATATTGTATTAATATATTATTAATAATCTAATATCTATAATAATCTAATAGATATAATCTTATATCTATTAATAATCTAATATCTATTTTAATAATATCTCTACCTCTAACAGAGGAATGAGGACCCTAAATATGAATATATGTCTTTACATGTGTGTAACACAGTCATGGATCAAACAATTCCAGGTAAAATCCAAGCAAGGATGAAATGAGGAGCACGTGGGGCTCTCTGGAAATGGGAAATGGGAGAGTTGAACACAGGGCCAGGTTTAGTTTGCTGTCATTTCTTCCACTGCTACAGGGTGGGATTTTTGGGGTGTCAGGGTTGGGAGCTGGAATTCTGACCCTGGTGGGTGCCTCCCTCAGGATCCTGCAGGATTCCACAGCACTGAACCATTATTCCATGATCCAGTTTATCAGAATGGCCTTGCTGAACGAATGAAAGGATCTGCATGAAAAACTGTGAACAAAACAGCAACTGAAATATCCCTGCTGTTTGATATTTCCATTTATCCCTCTGGTTCCTGGTCAGACACTGAAAGGAGAGGCTCTGGCTGGTGTCAGAGCCTTGTCCCCACTGAAGCTGCTCCCTGTGAGCAGAGCAGGGGCCGTGGGGAGATCCCTGCCCTGGAAATGAGGATTTTGTGCTCCCAGAGCTGCTCCCTGTCCTGCCCAGGCTGGACTGGAAGTGCCCTGGTTCCCTCACTGGACACTGCAGCTGGAACTGGCTGAGGCATTTCTCTGCTCCCCCAGCCTGCACAAAATCCGTGTAATTACAGGCAAGAAGGGCTCCATGGGCTGCCAGAGCCTCTCATCATCCTCAGGAACAGTTTGCTTTACAAAGCAAGAGCTGGGGAAAAACTCTCACTTTTGACCTTTAGAACAATGACAATGAATTGGGCTTGAAGTGTCCACCAAGGGACTGGAGGAAAAATTCAGTTGTAGCAGAAAATGGATTTTAACTAAATGTCAAATAAAATTTTATTGGAAACTCTGGTGATACTTTGGATTAATGGCTTAAAGCTTTTGAGTGGCTGCAGAAAGGAGCTGGGGTGATGTTGCTGGAGAGGGAGAAGGAGGAAAGGAGAATGATTGCACTCAGGCTGGAGCAGGGGCTGAGGGGGAGGCAGAGCATCCTCATCTGCAGCTCAGCAAAAGGAAGAGGTGGCACTTGGGGACAGTGGTGGCCCTGGCAGTGCTGGGGAACAGTTGGACTCCAGGGCCTCAGAGGGACTTCCCAACCCAAACAAATCTGTGGAAATCAGTGCAGGGAAGCAGAAGAGCTTGCAGTGACCCCCCTGTGAAGTGCAGAATAAAAGGACCCCTATAACTCACAGAGTAGTTACAAGAGCAGGTATGAATTTATTCAGCTCTGAGCTGCATGGGGATATCTCCTCCAAAAAGCATGCACACCTTTTTGATTGGGTTTCCCCTTTTTATCCTTTACAGACCAGGTTTACACGATACACCTAATACATATTCATTTCCTAACCCTGCCTGTCCTCACTTCATATTGCAATTAGCTTCATGCCTCTTTCAGTCCTTTGGTCACCTTTTTTTTTTTGGAACTTTAATCTCCTTTATCCTGTGGTGCCTTTATCTTTGCATCTTGTTTGTGTATTCCAGCTCCTTATCTCATCTTGCAGTCTGGCTCTTTTTCCTGTTCTTGTGGATCAGGGTGTCAGGGTCTGGTTTTGTCAGACACCCCTTTTAGTTAAGCATTTTTTCTTTGTTTCACCTGGATGTGCTCCCATCCAAGCAGGCCTCGGACACTTCCACCCCCAGAATCCTGGGATTCTGTGCCTGGTGATTCCCAGACACAGCTGTGTCTGGAGAGGGAGAACACGGCTCCAAGTGGCTCTGTGCTCAGAAACCCTGTCCAGGGAGCTGGGAGCAGGCTCACGGTTCCCAGGGAACGCTCTGTGCCCCAAACCCAGCGGGAAGTTCCCATCCCATCTGCTCAGGTGCAGCCAGCTGCAGGTGGCACCAACCCTTCCCAAAAACACAGCCCCGCTCTGCTCAGCCAGGGAATGCAGGGGAGCCGAGGAGGCCGGGTTCTGCCGTGTTGATATTCCAGCAGCAGCTCTTCCTCCCTGCCTCAGCTTCATCTGCACCTGCTGATTTCTGCCCGGCCTCGCTGCGGTTCCCAGCGGCACTAATGAGGCTCCCGGGCAGGCAGCGCTTCTCCCACCCAGCACTAAATTATATTAACCAAGCATATTTAGAATATTCTCAAATTGTTTGTCAAAGCTGCTGCTAAAAGATAAGGAACTGAAATCTCTGAATACAAATGACTCAATGTAGACTAATTCCAGGATATGATCGTGATTTACATCAACACAGCCTCCACTCGCACGAGGTCGGATTCAATTTTTCTGAACAAGAGATAAATTGAACCTTTCGTAGGAATAAAAATAAAACGCATTTCAAGGTGATTTTTAAACTTAGTCCGTAAATTATTGGCCTGGAATCTTTATTGTGCATGTTTAACTTGCAGTCATTATGTAAATGCTTGCATTCTATAAATATTCATTACGCAGCCCCATTATGTAAATCCAGCAAATCTCCCCACTCAGCGTGATGGGGCTGGAATCTCCAGATCTGCATTGTTGAAATGTCACCCGAATAAATTGCAGGTATTACTTATTTTGTTCTGACATTTCCCAGCAAAGTGCAGCATGGATAGTTTAGGAATGAAGGCAGAATGTTAAAGGATGGAGTTCTGCCCGGGACCCCAGCCCAGCCTTGGCTCTGCTGTGTCCCACCAGCACAGACACCTCCTGACAAAATGTCCCTTCTTGCCAAAATTCAGGAGCTGTGCATCAGAATGATTTCCCACTTTGGTTTTGACAAGTTTCCCAAGGGGAGCCTCCCCAGCTGTGGAAGGAATGGGATGCTCAGGGGAGTGGATTTAAGGTGAGGGAGGGTCACTTTGGATCAGACATCAGGGTGGAATTCTCCCCTGTGAGGCCCTGGGATGGAATTCCCAGAGCAGCTGGGGCTGTCCCTGGATCCCTGGCCCTGGATGGGTTTGGAGCAGCCTGGGACAGTGGGAGCTGCCCCTGCCATGGAATGGGATGGGATTTAAGATCCCTTCCAACACAAAACATTCCAGGATTCTGGGATCCCTGCTTACTTCCAGTTTCATATTTTCCAGTTCTTGCCTGCTCTCTTTCCTTTTTCTCCCAGTTTTATCTCCACCATCCCAGGTGAGCAGTTTTCCCACACCAGGAGGCTGACCTGGCTGCAGGGATAGGGCTGGGTTTGGAGGAGCAGCCTTCCAGAAATGTGAATAAAGGCAGATTTTCCCCTGAGGAATGGGAGGCAGGTCCTTGGCAGCAGGACACTGGGTGTTCATTCCATCCACCACTGCAGAGCACTCCTGTTCCTTGAGGGAGAAGCACAGAGGGATTTAGAAATCCTCCCTGAACCCCGAGGAGCAAACCCAGCCCCACCTGCAGCTGTGGCAGACCCGGCTCCTCCTGCCCCAGAGCCTCTCCCACCGAGCCACGGAGCGTGGCAGGAACCAGAAGGGCTTTGGTGAAGTGCCAGAGCTCCACACCTGCATTTCCAGGCTGAAATCCTCACCTGACATGAATTATTATCACATTTCCAGGGCTTTGCGTGTGTACAAAGGGCGAACTCTTAAAATGCTCCATCTCCTGCTTACAGATGGTTTTAAAGCTGGAAGTTCTAGAGGGGAAGTTTCTGGCTGGATTCTTTTTTCTTGCTGGGGAGGTTGTTTTCCCCCCAGCAGTGGAGGTGTGCAGTGTGATCAGACAGAGAGGCTGTTCCAGGGTCAGTGTGGAGGAGCTCAGTGGCAAACTGTGCTCTCCTGGCCCTGCAATGCCACTTCAGCTAGCAGAGACTTCCACAGCCAGCACTGACCTCCTTCCTCAGAGAGCTCAAACCCAGGGATTGTTTTCTCCTGGGTCAAGGAATCCTGGAATGGGTTGGGTTGGGAAGGACCTCAGACCCACCCATCCCAGCCCAGTCACGGCAGGGACAGCTCCCACTGCCCCAGGGTGCTCCAAACCCATCCAGCCTGGCCTGGGACACTGCCAGGGATCCAGGGACAGCCCCAGCTGCTCTGTCCTGTGGCACCCATGGGGTACAGATCACTCTGCCGTGTCTCGGGGTGGAGATGGGTCAGCAGAGAAGCTTTGGTCAGCTCCAGCAGTTTGAGGGGGTTTCAGCTCACCTTGGAGCTGGACACAAGTCTCTGGGCAGATTTGTGTGTTCTGTGCTCAGCCTGCAGTAATTTCTTCCTGTGATTGTCTCATTCCAGCCAAGCCCTTTGAGAGTGGGCAGTACCTGGACATCTATGGAATTACGAGAGACCAGGCTGGGGAGTACGAGTGCAGTGCAGAAAACGATGTCTCCGTCCCAGACGTGAAAAAAGTAAAAGTCACAGTCAACTGTAAGTGCTGTTCTTTGTTATTTATTCCCTCACTCTGGTGGAGAAGGAAAGTCTGGAGCAGCGACCTGGAGCTGCTGGGTTTGTCACGGTGGCTGAGGGGGCTGAGCTCTGTGGTGGAGTGACCACAGAGTGACCCCAGAGTGTGTGACCGAGGAGGCCACAGCGAGCTCAGGGTGCAGACTCTCATTTCTGGGTGATGATTGCAGCGGGTTCTGGTGGCTGCTGTGGATGCAGGGCTGAGCCCTTCCTGCTTTATCTTGTGGTGCTGTGAGCGGAATGAGGAGATGAGGAACGCTGCTTGGTCACTGGAGGGGTTCTGCTCTCCATGGCAGTGTGAGCTGCTCCCAGAGGGGCAGCAGGGTGTCTGGGGGACACTGCTGCTGTGGGGACCCTGCTGCCTGCTGGGTGACACCAGCAGGGCTGACCTGCTGGGACTCCCACACCAAGGAGCTGCTCTCAGCTTGGTCTGAATCTGATTTAGCACTCAGCGTGATGTGAAATGTTCTTCTTCCCTCCAAGACATGAGAAAACGCAGGCAAGACAATGTGAATAATTTCTGTTGTTCATTCTAACAATTTCCTTTGGTTGCCTTCAATTACCCAGCATGTCATTTCTTTCTGGTCTTGGAGTCACTTCATTGGTGACAAATACGAGATGTCAGCGTTGTGTCTCCCCCACAGACTTGTCCCAGCTGACGTGGGCTGGGAGCAAAGCCCCTCATCCCCATCACTGTGGGGTCACTGCTGTCACCTGGGGGTGTTCACTGCTGTCACCTGGGGGTGTTCACTGCTGTCACCCAGGTGTGTTCACTGCTGTCACCTGAGGGTGTTCACTGTTGTCACCTGGGGGTGTTCACTGCTGTCACCTGAGGGTGTTCACTGCTGTCACCCAGGGGTGTTCACTCCTGTCACCTGAGGGTGTTCACTCCTGTCACCTGAGGGTGTTCACTCCTGTCACCTGGGGGTGTTCACTGTTGTCACCTGGGGGTGTTCACTGCTGTCACCTGAGGGTGTTCACTCCTGTCACCTGGGGGTGTTCACTGCTGTCACCCAGGGGTGTTCACTGCTGTCACCTGAGGGTGTTCACTGCTGTCACCCAGGGGTGTTCACTGCTGTCACCCAGGGGTGTTCACTGCTGTCACCCAGGGGTGTTCACTGCTGTCACCCAGGGGTGTTCACTGCTGTCACCTGAGGGTGTTCACTGCTGTCACCCAGAGGTGTTCACTGCTGTCACCCAGGGGTGTTCACTGCTGTCACCTGAGCGTGTTCACTGCTGTCACCCAGGGGTGTTCACTGCTGTCACCTGAGGGTGTTCACTGCTGTCACCCAGGGGTGTTCACTGCTGTCACCTGGGTGTGTTCACTGCTGTCACCCAGGGGTGTTCACTGCTGTCACCCAGAGGTGTTCACTGCTGTCACCTGGGGGTGTTCACTGTGGTCACCTGAGGGTGTTCACTGTGGTCACCCAGAGGTGTTCACTGCTGTCACCCAGGGGTGTTCACTGCTGTCACCCAGGGGTGTTCACTGCTGTCACCCAGAGGTGTTCACTGCTGTCACCTGAGGGTGTTCACTGCTGTCACCTGAGGGTGTTCACTGCTGTCACCTGGGGGTGTTCACTGCTGTCACCCAGGGGTGTTCACTGCTGTCACCTGAGGGTGTTCACTGCTGTCACCCAGGGGTGTTCACTGCTGTCACCCAGGGGTGTTCACTGCTGTCACCTGAGGGTGTTCACTGCTGTCACCCAGAGGTGTTCACTGCTGTCACCCAGGGGTGTTCACTGCTGTCACCTGAGCGTGTTCACTGCTGTCACCCAGGGGTGTTCACTGCTGTCACCTGGGGGTGTTCACTGCTGTCACCCAAGGGTGTTCACTGCTGTCACCCAGGGGTGTTCACTGCTGTCACCCAGGGGTGTTCACTGCTGTCACCCAGGGGTGTTCACTGCTGTCACCCAGGGGTGTTCACTGCTGTCACCTGGGGGTGTTCACTGCTGTCACCCAGAGGTGTTCACTGCTGTCACCAGGGGTGTTCACTGCTGTCACCCAGAGGTGTTCACTGCTGTCACCTGGGGGTGTTCACTGCTGTCACCGGAGGGTGTTCACTGCTGTCACCCTGAGGGTGTTCACTGCTGTCACCTGGGGGTGTTCACTGCTGTCACCTGGGGCTGCTCAGAGGTGTTTTGTGGCCTTTTTCCCATTTAAAAATCCCAGTGGCCGTGGTAAACCCAGGGACTCTCTCTTGCCTCCCGAGCCCTAGACACGCACAGGTCCCAGCCTGGACCTGGCTTGGGTGGGCAGAGCCAAACCGTGCTGAGGCTCTGGAGCTCCTGCCTGGGACCTGCCCCGAGCGAGGCTGCTCAGGCCTGGCTGCAGCACTTGCTGTGAGGCTCTTGCTGTGCAGCAACAGCGTGTCCTGGGCTGAGCTGCTTAATTACTGGGTAATTACTGACAATAAAGAATCCAAACTGAAGCCACAGAGCTGCTCTGTGTCCCAGTGCAGCCACCTGGGCCAAGCTGGGAGTGTCCTCAGATGAAGCATGGATGTGCTGGTACCGTGTCAGGTTCAGGAAAGCTTCTACAGGAATATGTGGAGTATTTTTAATAATTCCTCACGGCTCCAGAAGGAGGGGGTGGCAATCTGGTGGCAGCAGCGTGGGGCTGGGCTGTGGCTGCAGCTGTGACACACGGCTGGATTGTCACAGCTCCCTGCTCACAGCCCCGCTGGGCTGGGACGTGTCCCCAGGGGCTGAGCACGGAGCAGGAGCTTGGCAGCATCCGCCTGCACTCGCTGCTTGTGAGGAATTTACAGTGGATTGATTCCCGAGGGCAAATCTGGAAAGTTCTTCATGAAAGAAATAGAGAGGAAGCCCTCAGCTCCTCTGGCTGGACAGTTCCCTTTGTCAAATGTTCTTCAGTCCTGGTTCTTCTTTAAAGACATCTGTTCATTTCCACAACAAGCTGGTAAGAGCAAGGCTTTCTCCCCAGAAATTCCATCCTTTTATTTGCTGCCTGTGGACTTGGCTCAGTGGTGGCTTTGGCAGTGCTGGGGAAAGGTTGGACTTGGAGTCTTGGAGAGCTTTTCCAACCTGAACAGTTCTGTGAGTTCTTTTCCTCTGCTGCTGCTCCCACCCACTCCTGCTGTCCTTCCATGACTCCATTCCTGGTGTCCTTCCATGACTCCACTCCTGCTGTCCTTCCATGATGGTGTTCCTGGTGTCCTTCCATGATTGTATTCCTGCTGTCCTTCCATGATTGTATTCCTGTTGTCCTTCCATGACTCCATTCCTGCTGTCCTTCCATGATTGTGTTCCTGCTGTCCTTCCACAATTGTATTCTTGTTGTCCTTCCATGATTGTATTCCTGGTGTCCTTCCATGATTGTATTCCTGCTGTCCTTCCATGACTCCACTCCTGGTGCAGGGCCATGTTGAGATGTGGATATTCGTGGCAGGGAGCAGCTGTTCAGTCAGAGACAAGAAAATGATCAGGTTTCAATGACTTTGTGAAATTCAGGTGAAATTCAGGTTTCAATGACTTTGTGAAATTCAGGTTTCAATGACTTTGTGAAATTCAGGTTTCTTGGCCGGGCAGGTTCCAGCCCTGCACAAACAAGGAGCTCTCAGCACACGTGCGTGGCTCTAATGACTTACAGGGGGTTCATTACACTGCTGGATACACCATCATCTACACTTTCTACTTAATTCATGTCTGTCCTCCCTAATTTCCCTTTGAAAGAGGGTGGCCTGAGAATCTGCCTGAATTCCAAAAGGAAGGGGGGGCAGAAAAGGAGAGAAGCCATTGAAGCTGCTGGCTGGTGCTGAAGGAATGCTCCACCAAATCAAGTTAAAATAGATAAGACATAATCCAATTCCATTTCACAAGTAAATCCTATTAGCATTTTCCATTACACTTTGTAAAGCAAATACTGATTTATAGATTATAATATTGAACCCCGCTTTGAATGAAGCAGTGTCTGGATTTAATGTGTCATCTGAAAGCTGGGCTGGAACTCTCCATGTGCTCCTGCCACCTCACTCATTCTCTGCTGCTCTGCCACCGTCATGCTTGAGAAATATTAAAGGCAGCTGCTAAATCCTGGAATTTCCAGTAGAGCTGAGGCCGCAGAGAGAGGATGAGGAATGGGATGTGTGCCTCGGGAAACTGGCATTTATTTGCATTTATTTCAAAGTGTCAGCTGCCTAAATAAATAGAAAATGTGGATTTAAAGTGGAGTGGCATTGCAGAATTCCCTTTTCTTAGGATAATGCCTGTTAAGGGTGGGTTTGCCAGTACTTGTACCTTGGACAGCTCTGTCAGAGCTGGAGCTTTCAGACTTGACTGAATCAAGATCTGATGGCTTTGGGGAGGGAAAAGACATTTTTGAACTCGTACCTGGGTGGTTTTGTCCCATTTTCAGGCTACTTTTCCCATTTCTCTGGATGATTTCAGGGTTCTCACCCCTGTAGTGGTGCTGCTGAGCCTGCCCAGCACCGGTGTGCGGGTGGGCAGATGGGAGCAGGGCAGGAGCAGAGTTTTGCAGACACCTGAAGGCAGATCTGAGCCCAGCTCAGCTGCTCTGTGCCTGGGAGCTGTGCCCAAAGGCAGCTGGAGCTGCTGAACTTCCAGAGCCCATTCCCCAGGATCTGCTGACCTTCCAGAGCCCATTCCCCAGGATCTGCTGACCTTCCACAGCCCATTCCCCAGGAGCTGCTGGCCTTCCAGAGCCCATTCCCCAGGATCTGCTGGCCCAGGCTCCTCTCCTCATGGTGGGGCAGGTGCTGTCCCAGCTCTGCTCTCTTGGGCACCATTCCCAAGAGATGGAATGGGCTGCTGGCATTCCCTGCTTGCCTGACCAGCCTCACCCAGGCTCAGCACTGGCACTGCAGCCCTGAATTTGCTCAGTTCAGCCTTTTAATGGGGTTTTGAATCTCACTTCTTTTGGTTTATCCAAGTATTCGCCACATTATTCTTTCCTTGTCTTAACCTGGGATACAAAACAAAGGGTTG